GATTGTCTACGTTTCACCAATATGTGGCCTGAACACTATGCTGCCCAGCGCTCAGCCGTCGATGGAGCAAACAACATGGACACCAGCGACCCCATACGCACCGGTGGCACGACCGCCCTTCCAACAACATCAGCCACCAACATGGATGCAGCATACTCAGAGATTTCCAGCAACTTTTTCCCCCAATATGGTGGCTACCATACAGCACCCACAGCCGATGCAGCAAACCATGCTGCTTGGGCCTGACCAAAAGTGTGTTCGGGAGCCTTGAGGGGGGGCGGGGGGGGAATGCATCTCAGAACGCTTGGACTTTCCTGCGGACTTGTGATTGAAGATTTGTGATTGAAAGTTTTTACTTCAGTGGAACAGCGTGTTTTGCAAGGCAGCTTGATCATGTGTACAGTGCCAATGAGATCGCTCCTCAGCAGAGTTACGACTCGAGTTCTTTTGTGAGTGGGTGGGCGTAGGGGACCTCCGGCGCTATGGCTCACCATGAGTGAATTCAATGGGCTCGGAGTGGCAGCAGCTTCGAGAAATCAACCCTGTTTTCTGCGAGCGTGTTTCGAAGGTCTTCTTGCATATTGGAAACTTTTGCTTGGCTGCAGCTACGCTTGAGGATGTACAGGCAATCGTGGATGATTCGATGAGTGATGTTCTTAAGATTGAGGATCGTGTGGCGCTTACAGAGTCAGTGCATAAGTGGTGCGCGCTTCATCAAGGGACAGTGGAAAGGACTGTTCGCGAGATCGGGCAGAATGTCCGACGTGGGCCTTATATCCGTCGTGGGCCCAGTGTGACGGCTGCCGATTTGTATGAGGGGCTTTTGGCTTCTGACCCTGTGCTGGGTTTGGCTGCTCTTGAGAAGAAGTTAAAGCTTCGCAAAGCTGGAACAGGGGCGCGTGTGGAAGCAGAGGACTTGTGCAGGCGCCGCTGGGGTCTCAAGCTCGCGGGCTACATCCAGGAGGCGGATCTGCCAGCATCTGAGAGAATTGGGTCGCTGGCTGACGCGGAATCGGCCTGGCTACGGGCTTTCGGTAGCAGGCGCGGCAAGACCTTGAAGAATCGGGCTCGCACGTGGGAGCCGGTGCGCGAGTGGATGATTCAGGCGACTGGGAAACCTTGGCCAGGAGACGCATCGCTGTTGCTGCAGTACTTTGATGAGAGGCATCAGATCAGGCCGATGGGGAAGACTGTTCCGCAGAGTATCTTGTCAAGCCTCGGTTTGCTGGAGCTGGTTGGGCAGAGGCCTTCTGCAGATAGGCTGTCGGAGGATCCTTTGCTTGTGGAGTCTGTGAAGGCATGGACGATGCAATTGGAGACAGGTGCCGAGCCGGTCAAGCAGGCGGAGCTCGTTACGGTGGCAATGGTGCTCTCGGCTGAGATTCTGCTGGTGAAGGTCGGGACACCCCCTGGGCTGCGGTTCGGATGCTTCATTTTCTTGCTTATGTGTTGGGGAACGCTGCGTTGTGACGATATACAGGGGATCGATCCTTCGAGTGTTACGCTGTCACAGCTTGGAATGAAATTTGTTCTTTCCCGGACCAAGACCTCTGGACCTGGAAAACGGATCGGGCAGCTGCACGGATACCTTGTGAGGAGCATAAGCCTTTCTGGCTATGACTGGATTGCGCATTCATGCAAACTCTTGATGAGCGAGGATTTCAAGTTTGCTCGGGATTTCTTGTGTCCAGACATTGGTGAGTCGTGGGAAGTCAAATCGAGGGAGTACGTTGGAGCAGAGGGCGTCGCCAACCTTGTACGACGTGTGATCCTGGAGCTGCCGGTCCCGGGGAAGAAAGATGGAGTCTGGGGTCTGAGCAAGACAACGAAGCTGGTTCCGAAGGAGCTGGCGCTCTTCTGGTCCGGGCACTCGCCGAGGCATTTCCTTCCATCCTTGGCGGCAGCAATTGGGATCGACGAAAAGAAGCGCGACTTTCTCGGACGGTGGGCGGCTGCCCGGCAGGGGTCAACCGCTTATGTGCTGACGGCCAGACAAATTATTCAGCAAGTTCAGGCTGAGGTGTGCGAAACACTCTTGACTGGGAAGAACCAGCCCGGCTACATCGAGGAGGAGCTGCTTCTTCGCTTAAAGGCGTTTGCGGAGCAACATGGAGTTTCTAACGGGGCTGTTGCACGCCACAATGTCATGGTGTGGTGTGCACTCAACTTGTGCTGGAGTCTTCAAGGAAAGTTTCCGGCAATTGCAGTTGACCCCGGAAGCCATCAGCAAGCGGTGGCCGAGCCACCGAAGGACCAGCCGGCGCCTTCTCCGGAGGATGCAGATGCGCCATACTTTGTTGTTGTGAGTCGTAGTGGGCACAGACGTCTTCACATGTCACGCACTTGTGCTGTAAGGCAGGAGCGTTGCTTGGAGACCATTCCTTTGTACAGCATCACTCAGGATTCTGCAGATGCAATTTGTAAGTTATGCAGGCCCCGGCTAAAGGAGCAAGGGGCGGTCAGCAGTGAGTCCGCATCCTCAGATGCAGTGGAGCCGTGACACATGAGGGGTGTGAAAATTTCGTCGCATCAGGGGCTTGTCCCGTGAGTCAAAGCAGGAAGTACTTCGGTTGTGCCACGTCCCGTGAGTATCAGACTGGGACATTGCATCAGATTGAGAAGAGCCGCAGTCACGTCAGTATCAGGTGCAGTGCTTTGACATGTCTTTCTTGTCTTAACGTTGTGCGAATTGAGGTGAGCCAATCAGACTCTTCAGACACAGTGGCATTTCTTCACACAGTGTGTTCGGTGGTAGCTTGCAGTGAGTTCCAGACATGGATTTGCCAGCTGGAGTGAGTGAGGAAGCGGCTTCGAAGTTCTTGTCCACTGAAGTCGATGCTGAACTTGCACACATCCTTCAGGAAGCTGGAGTCCCGCTTGGATTGCAGTACAAACTCACACAGTCTTTCAAGACTGTGAGGCGGTTTCAGTCTTATGAGGACACCCGTGCAGGGATACGAGATGCATTGAAGAACGATTTCGCTCTGGAGCCTACCACTCTTGATAAGCGCGCTGGGATCTCAGCTGTGATTAGTGCTTGGGAGGCATGTCAACAATTTGCCGCGAAAGAGCAGGAGCTTCGCGCGGAAGCGCGCGTGTTGGGGGTTTCAAGGCCCGTCACACAGACAGATCGGAGTGCGATGAGAGCCGCCTTCGAGGCGACCCACGGCAGGCTTGAAGATGCACATGAGCCTTCCGAGGATTACATCTCATGCAAGATGGAGGAGCTTGAGGCTCATGAGCCGACGGCTTCGCCGCTGTCCGAGGTTACATCACGCAAGACTGTGAAGACTCAGGGGATCCAGACTGCAGTCGATTCTTCAGGCCATGTTCGCATCGTGCGGACAAAGGTCAAGGGATCATTGCCTCAGGGCACTGAGGAATTGCGCACGGTGATGCGTGTTGAGTGCAACTTGTGGTGCTTCTTGGCGACCAAGTATCGCAACCGCGAGCTCTTGCGAGGCATGGACCCCGAGTGCTGGAATCAGTATGTTGCTTTTCTGCTGTCTGACAAGGTTTACCTTATGAAGGTGCCGATGGCAGGGGGCAAGGGCAATCAGACCGAACATGTACCATTGCGGCCCCCTTGGTCAGTGTTGCTGAATTTCGAGTTTGAGTTGCGAAAGGAGGCAATCAAACGGGCTGTACAGGGCAATCGGCCTTTGAAGGATACACTCGTGGAGGTGACGTCCGATGCTCAGCTCAAGGAGCAGTATTTCACATCGCCCATTGCCCTTCAGCAGGTTGCACCTCCACCGCGGCCAGATCCTTTCTGGCCACAGCGACGGTTCCGACAGTGGGACAATGATTGGTCTGAGAGCCCGGCCAAGTGGCAGCGAACGGGCAAAGGACGTGGCCATGGAAAGGGCAAGAACGGCAAGGGGGGCAAGGCCAACCGCGATGAATCCAAGGGCGATGGCAAGGGCCTCGGCGGTGGCAAGGGCAAGAGTGATCATGCGCTCTGGACACACACGCCGGATGGACGTCAGATTTGTTTTCCATATAACGCTCAGGGTTGTGATGGCAGCTGCGGTCGAGTTCATGTATGTCGCGTCCGAGGGTGCATGCAGTCCCATCCGATGTGGCAGCATTTCCAGAGCTTGGCAGCAAAGGCGGCAGCACCGACCGGGGCGCAAGCCACCAACTGACGTTCCAAACTCACCGTGCTGTATCTTTTCGCTGGGCAGGCACGGGATGGAGATATCCGATCACACTTACAGCAGCTCTGCACGTCGCGGGGACTGGATTTAATTTTGCATGAGTTTGATTTGCTGCGGGGTCCTGAACAGGACCTATCGTCGCACAGGCTTTGGGAGCGTCTTTTCAAGGACATTTCGTCTGGAGCCTATGATATCCTTATTTTGAGCCCGCCTTGTTCCACTTTTTCGCGGGCTAGACATCGTTTTGCGGGGGCATTTGGCCCACGCCCACTTCGTTCACATGGCCATCTGCTGGGTTTTCCTTGGTTGCGTGATTCAGATCGCACAAAAGTTGAGCTGGCAAATTTCTTCGTGCAACAATCTTTTGAGGCCATCCGTTTACAGAGGCAGCAGGGCTTGTACTTCATTCTTGAGCACCCTGAGGATCTGGGCCGTGTGCCGTCTGGTGAGAGGCCTGCTTCCATTTGGTCTTTTGATGAGGTTCGTCAGATTTGCGCTGGAGGCGATGTCAGTTGCTGGGCATTGCATCAATGCCTTTTCGGGGCTATGTCTTGCAAACCCACTCGCTTGCTATCCAATCTGCCCGGAGCATTGAACTTTGGGATACAGATGCCATGTTTCAATGATGACGGGGACTACGTGGGGCCGCTCTTGCGCTGTCCGCATTCACATGCAGATCGAGCCTGCGGTTTTCAGGATGGCACTTGGAAATCGGCCGCCACGGCGGCTTATCCTTCGGAGTTCGCTGCTTTCTTCGCCCGTCTCTCTTTGAGTGTAATACCTGAGCTGAGGGCCGTGGCTGACTCCGACCTGATCCCAGCCAACATCCCTTCATCCGCCGAAGCCTTTGCCACGGAGTGCATCGCACGCGGTTCTTTCGATCGTGCTTCAGTTCAGATTCTTTTCGACTTGCTTCCTAAGACTCGGCCTCATAAAATCACGGGCAGTGCAGAACCTGGCACCGCTTTCTTTGGAGGCACTGTGCACCAGGAGGGTCTCACCGCACCGCGGTCCACTTGTTTTACATTCCCCGAGTCCATGCGGGTGATCAATGCTTTTCTTCACTCCGTGGACCCGCACCACCGTTACGCTGCTTTTGTTCTCACAAAGAACGTGACTAGTGAGGTTCATCGTGATCCGCGAAATGCAGCTGTGCCCAACATGATTGTGGCAATTTCCTCCTTTGCTGATGGTGGCATTTGGATACAGGATGACTCAGGTACCCAGGTGCGATCCTTTCACGGCTCGCCCGTCACAGGCACTGTACACTCCTTACAAGACGGACCCGTCTACCTGGATGCCCGTGGATGTTTGCATGCTACCCAACCTTGGGTTGGGGATCGTCTCATCGCCATTGCATACACCCCTCAGAACATGCACCTGCTCTCTGTTGATGATTCGGCTTTTCTGGCTTCATTGGGCTTTCCTGTCTTGGATTCCTCTCCTGCGGGGGGGGAGGCACCAGCGGAATCCTTCGTTTCCTCAGACAACTTCACCTTGGCTGCAGCAGTGCCGGCGATAGACAACTCAGGCACTGGAGATGCTCAGGAGGTCGTGGTGATCGATCATGAGGAGTCGGCCAGGGAAGCTTTTGACCCCAAGACTAGTCGCGCTTTCGGGCAGCCCATGATCTGCAAGTTTGAAATGGGCAAGCAAGAGTTTGTGGACGGCTTCGGGTTGTGTTCGCCTGGCCGTTGGGCTCCCGAGGCGAGAGAGAAGTTGGCGTCGAGTGATGAGGTGGCACATGCAGAGGGAATTCGCGGATTGCTACGAGACTTTGTGATTGATCAGCTGAAAGACCCCAAGGACATGGCGTTCCGTCTCGCGACGGGCCATGTGAAGAATTCTCCTTTCGCGGAGGCTGCCTTGCAGAAGTTGAGGCAGAGGATCGTCGGGTTGATCCCAGGGGCGCCTTCAGACCTGCTGCGTGTTCCCGAGCGGCAGCCGTTCCACTTGTACATGCTGGCCGAGTCGCTGAGGCTACTTGGTGACCCCGATTGGGAGATTCTTGTGCAGGGGGAAGAGTGTTATGCCGAGGGGATGCCGGTGGGGTTCGACTCGCCACTGCCAACGGCGCCGCAGGTGTTCCGGCCGAGGGACCGCTTCCGCAAGCTGGATGAGAGTGAGTTTGAGCCGCAGATGCAGAACTACTCTTCTGCCGAGCTGTCTTCAGATAAGATCGAAGAGCACTTCAGGGCTGAGGAGCGGGAAGGCTTGATGGTGGCGATGACTGAAGGGGCCGTGAAGGCGGAGTACGGCGAGGGGCGACTTCTGGTGGCCGCCATGGGGGCCATTCTTAAACCAAGTGGTGATGTCCGCCCTCTTCACGACGCCACCCACGGCGTCCGCTTGAACAATGGTATAAGGATTGCAGACAAACTCGAAGTGCCTGGACCTGCGGAAATCATCGAGACCGTGTCCAGGGCGCGGCAGGATTTCGGCGTCCCCTTCTCCATTGCAGCGGACATTGCCAAGGCACACAGGAGGTCCAAAATACGACGACGCGACTGGCCCTTGTTGGGCTGCCGGACTTCGTCTGCATCTAAAGTGATTTGGCTTAATTGCGTAGGAACTTTCGGGGTAAGTTCAGCTGCGATCCTTTGGGCCAGATTGTTCGGATGCATCGGACGCTGGGTCTTGAGAGTGATGGGACGGCTCTGGAATGTGCAGATTGTGTACGTTGATGACCTTCATATCGTGGTGACTGGTCCCGACAAATACGTGGTGCTCTGGATGATCTTGGCTGCTTACGAGGTGCTGGGCACGCCGTTTTCTTACCGGAAGTTTCACGGTGGTGTTGAATGCGAGTTCGTGGGCTACTGGCTTTCTTACCGAGAGAGTGCCGCTGGGATTTCGCTCAAGAGGACGCGCTGGGTTCTTGATTGGATCGACAATGCCGAGGCGAACAACTGGTTCGTCACAGGTCGGCGCTTTGCCGAATTCCTTGGACGGCTCAACTTTGTTTCCAGGGTGTTGACTTGGATCAAACCTTTTCTTGCACCGCTGTATGCTTTTGACGCCGTCTTGCAGAAGGGGACTGTGGCGAGGATTCCGGAGATGGTCTTCGTGTCGCTTGTTTATATCAGGGAACAGCTTGCGGAGTCCAGGGGACTACACAGTGTGCTCCAGGATTGGCGGGCGCCGCGCGAGAGTTTCAGGACGGATGCAAAATGCACAAACGGCTTGGTGGTGCTCGGGGGCTACTCGCTTGAGAATGGGACGGACCCGTCAGTTGCACGCTGGTTCTGCCTCGATGTGTCGCAACAGGATCTGCCTTGCCTCTTCAAAGATGACGGCGATAGCCAATGGGCATCGACGAGTGCGGAGTTGCTGGCCTCGC